CATTATATGATTAATTAAATTAGTGCATACTTAATTACCTTGGAAAATTAATTAATTAATTAATTATAAGTCGTAGGTGAGGACCACTGTCGTCGTCATATATTTTTATAAAATTAGAAACTATATACTATATTAGATTACTCTAAAATAATTAGTTGTTCACGTGGTTTCATGTTTTCAGACCTACATTCTCACCTATATTCACGTAAAAACTAATTGTAATTAGTGCAATTAAATATTTTTAAAAAAAAAATTATTTTATTCGTAAATTATAGATATACTTAAGTCGAAGATTTTTGAAAAAAAATTCTTTATTTTCACAAAATAATAGTAAGGTCTGGTTACATTGTATTCTCGTCAGACTTCACTTAGTAGAGTTTCATTGTATATATTGTTGTCCAAGTAATCGAGTTTATTGAAGATAACTTCATTTATGATAAAGATAAGATCTGTAAATATCAACGATTTTATATTCATTAATGAAATTATACTGATATGTTATTATTGTTATTGCCGTGATTATCTACGAATATTTGCTAAATTGATTTTTTTTTATTCTATACATTGAAGAAAAAATCAAAGTGAACAATAGGCTATGATATCACTAGATTGAAAATTTTCTAGTTTATTGTTCATTGATGAGACATTTATTGATTATTTGGTTGGTGAAATAATAACTACTAATTTCAAAAAATAAAATGATTATTTTAATTTGAGTTTTTGGTTATGCCTATTAGTTAATTTTAAAAAAAAAATATATATATATATATATATATATATATATATATATATATATATATTTCATTTTGCTATTTATTATTTTATTTTTATTTATAAAAAATCAGATAATTAATCACAATCATAATGTTTATTTTGTTTATTTAATTCCACATACCAAACGAATAATTTTTTTTAATGATTTGAACTAACAATAATTATTTTTCATATTAAAAGTTCTTTTGGTAGATGTTAAAAGTATATACTCTTTTTTATACGATCATATTATATATCAAGATAACATGTGGAAGAAAATACTCTTGTAAAAAGTTATTTTGCATTTATCTCCTTAAAATAATTCCCCAATTAATAGATGTTAACAAAAAAAAATCCACAAGACAAAATTCAAAGACTTTTAATATTTGAATTTAGGTAACTTATCAATATTTCAAACTTTTATTACAATGGTCGTATTTTTAAATAAAAAGTCATTTTTTCGTTCGCCCTTTGATACTTGTATTTAGAGTTAATAAAGAGCTCTTGAGTTTCGACTTTTCAGTATCAAATCACATTTATTAAGAAATGCTTAACCTTCAAAGTAAGATTTTTAGTGCGAATTTAAATTTAATCAGACTTTAACGTGGGTATCTGATGAGAAATAAAAAAGAAATGGAGTTTTTAACTGTTGGAATAATTCAAAGTCGGAATAGAAATTGTAATTAGCTTAGAATTTGTTCTTTGATATTTATTTAATTTATTCGTTTGTTCTAGTTTATATTTTTGTAATACATTTTCTAGTTCTAGCTATTTTCAATAGAGAAAAACAGAAAAAACTTATAACGAGGTTCAAAGAGTTCAGCGCTCTTGCTTAAACGAAAAAAATATCTTATTCATCCTTCTACGACTCTTCCGATAAAAATGCCTTATCAACAAGTTATACAATATTTTCATTAACTAATTAAAAAGACATAGATAGATATTTACTATATTTATATTTTCCTAATTGATTTATGGAATAGAATTTATATTTGAATTTAACTTCTCACAAAATATCCTACACAAAAAAAAAAAATCCAAAATAAAATTCATAAATATTACTTTTATTTACCATAATTCATTATTATTATCATTATCATCTTTATCATATTCACATTTTTTTTAGAAGCATTCAACGTTTACTTCATGATTCAACAATATGGAAAAAGCAAAGGAAATTTCTCCTTTCAATGAATAGTTGTTGAAAAGTTCATTGTTAAATTCAATTTTCTGCGAATAAATTTCTAGTTGAAGATGAATGAAACTCGAAATACGACGAATATTTTGAGAAATCCTTCAAAATTTCTTCATCGGTGTAGTAAATGGATTTCAGATCTAAATTTGAACAAGTTATTGTTGATATTACCATCAATTTTGTTTATTGTTTATGTGTTTTACTCTTCTGTTGTTGGTGGAGGAAGAAGTACTGTTGTAGTGTTCAATCCTTTCTCAAATTCAAAATCAACTACCAGTTACGTTCCCGGAGATGGATATGATTTTCCGGCGAGATTTGCAGATGAATCGGAGAAGAAACGGAGGAAGGAGGAGCTGGATCGATCGAGAATAGCTGTGTGTTTAGTAGGTGGGGCCCGTAGGTTTGAACTTACTGGGCCTTCAATTATACAGAAAATTTTAAAAGTTTATCCGAATTCTGATCTGTTTCTTCATAGTCCATTGGATTCTAAAGCTTATAAGCTTTCATTGTTGAAATCTGTTCGGAGAATCGCCGCCGTTAGGATTTTCCGGCCACAATATATACCGGAAACTGAGTCACAAGTTCGAGTTCTAACAGCTCAAAATTCACCTAATGGAATACAGGTATTTTTCTCCTTTCGATTTTTTTAATTTTTTTTTTAAAAAAAATAATTAACAAAAAATTTTGAATTAGAAAAAGAGTATTTGTTTGTTAGGATGTAAACAAAGAGATAATGGTGGCTTTTTCGTTGCTTCTAACGCAATTCTAAAACAAAGCTTTTTAATGGAAGTTGAGTGGTGGTTTTAGCTGGCGGCTATCATGTTATTAGTTGGAAGTAGACAAATTTTTTTAGGTAATTATTGTCTATCGAGGCGAAAACTGCTCTCTTGATTGTTGATTTCACGTAATTTGTAATCAACGTCATATATTATACATCATACTTTCGAAAGTCAGTTCAGATAGATCATCAACTTAAGAGTATGATATTTTTGATTTTTTTTTTTTGTTAAGGGGATGATCGTTAGGTTGATGATTTTGGTAGATATTTTAGAGATTTTGAGTACGAAAAAGCTAGGTGATTTTTATTTATTTATTTAAATTTTAATGGAGAAATTATTTAATATTACGAAGGGGAAAGTTGAAAAGTGTTTATAAGTTTGATTGAACATTGCTAATTATAAAACAAAGATGACTTTTCAAAGGGAGGTTTTGGGGTTAGTTGAGAATCAATATATCTAATGTTTAATTATGTGAAATTAAAACATTAATAATTATATTAAATTATTAAAGTAGCTTTTTGGTTTGAAGTTTCTTTTTTCATACTAAAAGTTAGGTTGGAAATATTTTTGTATGATTTCACTATAAAGATGAGAAAAGATTCTAGAGTTAAGTTGAAGATAAATGCTTAAGTATATAACTTGTAAAATAATATTAATGTTGCTACCCTTAGGGAGAAGCATGAAGTATTTGCTTGTAAAATTTGGTTTGGTGTAAATTTGGCAACCAATAGAAGTACAAAACCAAAGTCCAAATGGTCTTTGGCAAATTAAATATACAATAGGTGGTGGGTCTAGATTAGGTAAAAATAACACTTTCACCTAAAAAATATTTTGTTAGGATTAGGTGATATTGATAATGTCAAATGTCCTCATTCAAATGAAAGCGCTCCCTACTGAGATCTTTTGTGTACTTGTATTAGGCTTCTGATTAATCAGGATTTGTAATGTAGGTCGGGCAGAAAGCGTTTCCTACTAAGATCTTTTGCGTACTTATATTAGGTATAATGCGGTAGCCTATTAAGGCGGAAAGCGCTCCCGACTAAGATATTTTAGTGAGTCATATCTCTCATATTGTTGTCCGCACTAAGTAGTAACATGTATTAAGTTGGTTTGATGTAAACAACCAGTTATTTGAATTCAACATGTTGCAATTTCAGGGGTTGCTGCAATATTTCAATTTGGTAGAAGGTTGTTTGACAATGATCCAAGACTATCAAAAGCAGAACAACTTCACATACGACTGGATAGTCCGAACTCGAGTTGATGGCTACTGGTCTTCACCACTAGGCCCCGAAAACTTCATCCCCGGGCGTTACCTCGTCCCTCCAGGTTCCTCCTACGGAGGCCTGAACGATCGTTTTGGCGTTGGTGACTACAACACATCGGTGATTGCTCTTTCGAGGCTCTCCATGATACCCCAGCTTGATTTAGCAGGGCGTATTCAGCTCAACTCAGAAAGTGCATTCAAAGCCCAACTTACAACTCAACAAGTCCCTTACCTAACTATGCGCCTTCCCTTTTGTGTAGTAACGGATCGTCAGTACGAATTTCCACCATCCCATTATGGCGTACCGGTTGCAGCACTTTCTAGTCGAGGCCCCCTGAGTGGGGCCAAATGCCGGCCGTGCACGCCCGTGTGCACCGGGTCATGCGTTGAGGTTGCCATGAATAGACTAGATAAAGGATGGAGTTGGACGGATTGGGCCAATAACTCTCTCGAGCTATGCGATGCTCACGCTGAATGGGAGAGCGGGTGGGAGAGAGTTTTCGACAGAGTGGCGGGGAAAAAGCTTGCTGCAGCTAGAAGAAGGATTGATGGAATGAAATTAGATCAATGTATTAGGGAATTTGCTGAGATGAAGAATAAAACTTCACGTTGGGAGGCTCCATCAGGTACAGAAATTTGTAGTTTAGGTTTGTTGGACACTCCCCAAAGCTAAAAAGAAGGAACCCGTCCTTTCGAGCTTCTAGTTCTTCTGGATTGCAACCCACGAGGGCACTCTAGAGCAACCTTTGAACGCGTTCCGCCTTATTATTTAGTGTATCGAGTTACATATTGTTTATTTCTTGAAAAAAAAAAAGTCCATTTACACATAGTAGGATTCTTAATAGTTCTTAGTATAACTGATTCAAGTGTTAGGCTCTACTGAATAATGAAATATAGCATCACTTTGGTACCTATATTTGCTTTTATGTATATGTTTTTTACTTGTGTCGAACAACATATAACATTCATAAATTCAAATATAAGAAACGAAACGTGACAAAGTAAATACGCAACAAATTCTCAAATAAAACTTCATCCATCAAATTCTATATCTATACTGTTTCTACGTAAATTTGAAATAGTCGGATTCTAATATCTTCGAGTAGAAGCAGCACCTACATTCAAGTGCTTAGCAATTTCAGAAGAAACACATCAAGACAAGCATATTGGATTTGATTCAAACTCAACCATTCACTATCCCATCTACCCATAGTAACAGATTTTGGCTTAACAATCTCCTTTTCCAGAACGACATTGCATAGTTCCTTCAACCCAGCATTCTTCAAATTCTTCATACCATATACATCAGCAGCAATTCCTCTCAAATCCACCATATTCTTAACATTCAGCTCATAATCCTCCAACAATTTCTCCACATCGCTTTCAATTCCAATTCCGACGAAATCATACTCACGATTCCCGAGAAAATTGAACAGAGACTCCGGGATTGATCGACAGTAGAGGAGTTGGATAATGAGGCAACGACGATCGACGCAGATCTGGAGAACGGCGGCCGGGTTTTGCTGGTTACGGTTGAAGTTAGGACGCCATTCAACGTCAAGTCCGGCGATGAGACGGCGATTGCCGGAGTGAGAAGATACAGTTTCGGAGATCCACTGGGTGATGATATCGGGATCGGGAGTTACCGTTGTTTTGATTACATCGCTGTGGAAGTGAACGTCGAAGAGGTCATACCGATTGTCTTGCTCCTCTTTGTCGACGATACGGAGATTCATGGCGGCGATTTCACCGGCGTAGAGCTGAGAGAAATCGCCGGCGAGGTTTTTGACTAAAAAGAGAAATTGAGTGGACTTGATGTGAAAATATTGTTAACAGTAGGGATTAAATACTAATTTTCATACTTTGACTAAATTTTTAGCTAAAATTGCCCCTCATTTATGACTGCAAATCTATCTTGATCTATTAAATATAATTATGAGTCTTTTTTAACCCTAAAGTTTTTTTAAACTCATAATTTTACCATAATGTTTTATTTTGTGAAATAAATCAATTAAGTTTGAAGATACGAGTTTTGCCTCATTACTTTAAATCTTGATGAACATATAATAAAATGTTAACCACATTTTGTATTGATATACAAATCAATAAATATATAAAATATGTTTCATTGTATAAAGTGGGGGAAAAGGTTTGAAAAATAATTTAATTTTGGCCGAAATTATTGTTACGATAAAGGGTTTTTTACCCCTGAACTATTTAATAGTATATTTTAAAGGTATATACGTGTCCACTTTGACAAATTACTATTTATAATTATGTAATAATTTTTATGTCCACGTGAGCACATATATACCTTTAAAATACACTATTAAATTCAGGAGATAAAGATTCTTTCCAAAGTTTGATATCGTAACAGTAATTTCGATTAAAGTTCGAATATACTTCAAACATTTTTCTTTATAAAATAATATTAAATATTAATAGTGTTAAAGAGACATTATTATTATTTGACTTCACGAATCAAACATTAATATGAGTATATATATAAATGAAGAATACATATAATATTATATAAAGCCATCAATATAGGTTGGATTGCGCTAATCAGGACCAAAGTTATAGTAATATCAAATTGGTTTGTCGAACACCCTTCGTTGATAAAGTATACTATATATAGTTGATTAAATTTTAGCTATGGAACCATTGACGCCAACCGGCCAAGGCTTTGAAATTTGACAAGTGAGATTGGATATATATGTACCCCAATCGAGTGAGCCTTAAATAATTAACTCAATCGAACCCTAAGAAGGTTGAGGTTAGGTCTCAATGAATCACATGCATATACAGAAATTGATATCACATCGAATATACAACGCTAATGATATTTCATAACTAATTGATTGAGCTTTTGCCCATAGATGTGACAAGTTGATTAGAATGTGTCCGTTATTTTTTAAAATTGTTCTTTCAATCCAAATTAACTCTCAAGTTGGCACCTAAATAATTCAAATAATTTTACAAAGTAACAAATTTTAATTGAACACACACACAAAAAATATATAATATTCCATTTCTTAGATAAAATAAGCTCCTCAAAATAACTTCAACTACACTAATTTTGTCAAGCACACTTAGATCTAATTATCAAAAAGTTAAGAAATAATTCAAATATGGCCTTGGTTATGTCTTATATGAAATAAGATCATTTTTGGCTTAGTAAAATAACGATAGAGACATAATTGTATCAACCTACTAACAAAAAATAAATATGATTAATTTCTCATACTTAATAACATTTGCTACACTTATTCATCTTTCCTTTTAATCAAATATTGATTTTTTTTAAGGAAAAAAAAACGAATAATAAATATTGAGAGATTATTTTTTCTTTTTTTTTAATTTTCATGAAATTATTAATTTGGAGTGCTTTGCTTGAAGAAACAAGATAACGTGCTATTATTGAAATTGTTTGCATCATCTTCATTTTAAAATCTTTTTTTTTTTTTTGAGCTCCCACATGATTAAGAACACATGGGTTTGTAAATATTAAAATTTTTAATCAATTAAAGAAATTAGAAGAAAAATAAGAGTACATTATTCAAGTACTTATCCTCAATTTTCATTAAAACAAAAAAAAATTCTTTGTTTTAAGAATTTTCTTGGAAGTTTTCCACACGCTTTAATTTATCGTACTTTAATTAACTATCGCTGTAGCTAAAAAAAATGTATTTTTAAATTACTTTGTTTCAAAATTTTAAGACCAAAATTAATTGTTGTTTACTAAGTAAACAATACACGTCTTATATTTATTATCTTCTTAATCATCATGAAAAAAAAACTAAAATTAATAATAATTAGAATGTTAATTAGTGACTAAATGCTCCTCAATTAGCAAACATTTTGTCTGCATGGAGACAAATTAAATATCGGCTATGGCATCTTTTTCTCTACATGCATGTATTTGCATGCTACCAACTATTATAAACTATAATTTTATACATTAATTAATTATATAAAAATATTACTTCCTCAACTATAACATTAGTAATATAATTGTGTAATCGTACAACTATAATATAATCCTTGGGAGGTAGAATACATAAAAATTTACGCAGATCTAAATACTTCTATATTTATGGAATAGAAAAGTTATTTCTGATAAACTCTTGATAGGAAATTGAAATAATCAGAACATGATATAAAAAAAAATTCGACATAAAAATAACACGATTGAACAGAAGAAATGAAACAAGAAGTAACAATGAAATAGAAGAATAACATACTTACACATATACTAACAAATATTTGTATACATAGTAATAATATAACTAAATGAAATCCTACAAATAAACTAACACTAATCCACAAACAAGAATATCTTAACAACTAATCAACTACCAATTATGGTTAGTGATAGAATAGTAAATACTGATTCTTAATTAGAGGTCTCAAGTTCAATTTTTTTCTGGATATATATGGAGTCGTCGTTGTTAGAGCTGCTTACGATCAATATGTGACTTTTCAACGAAATTCGAATTTAATCAGACTCTAATATAAATATTGAATATAAATATCGAATACTAAATGAATAATAATAATAAAAAATAAAACTAGTCAACTACTATACTATATCAACTAATCAATCAATGTATCAATTACACATATTTTTCTCCATTTCTCATTTCCAATGAAGTTTCCTAAGGGAACAAATTTTGGTACCTTAGCTGTTGCCAATTATAGGACAACAAATCCGTACAAAAAAAGGATCCTTCTGTCCTTTTTCCTAAGAGATCTCAGATCTCAATTAATAATAATAATAATACATCTTTAATTAATTTTCTCTATTTAACTATAAATACATTGCTAACATTTTAGATATAATAACAAAGTACATTAATCTTTAATTTCAACAATATTTTTCTAACAATCCTTGATTTTCTCCTAGAAAAAACTTCAATGGCACTCCCAAATTTTGATGCTCTAAGAGACTTGCACGAATCGGCTAACGACATGCTTCACTCCCCGGTGATCAAACGAGAAATCGCTCATCAGGGTCAGGAGAAATGGACACACGAGGTTTCAGAAACATCGTTAAGGATGTTGGACGTTTGTGGTACCACTAAAGATGTTCTTTTGCTTGTTAAGGATCACGTTCACGATCTTAAGTGCACGTTCAGAAGAATCAGTGTTGGGGAAAACGCCACAACAGAGAACAAGTTCGCGCCTTTTCATTGCCATAGGAAGAAGTTGAAGAAAGAGATGTTAAAGCGACTGCATTCCTTGAAAGGAATGAAATATAACACTAAGTGTATTGATTCATCGTCGATAGATAATGAAAATAATCTTATGGTGGTTGTTAATGTATTAAGAGACGTTAGAGTGGCAACAATGTCAATATTGGAATCTTTGATGGCACTTATGTCAATGCCAAGTCCAAATGTGACACGGAAATCGAGTAAAGGGTATTTTGGTCCAAAGTTATTAATGAGAGTAAATAGCTTAAGCTCATGGGAAAAATGTGATACGATGACATTACAATGTGCTAATAAAAGATTAGAAGCCGTGGAATTAGCCATTGAAAATCTTGAAGAAGAACTTGAATGTATTATTCGAAGATTAATTCGAACAAGAGTTTCACTTTTAAATTTACTTACTTATTAGTAAATTAAAGAAGAAATAATATTGTAGGAGCTACTAATTTAACTTCCTATTAATTATTTGAAGGGCTTTAATCAATTGCCTAATATTCTTTTAGTTAATCAATTAAGATCAATGCACAAGTAGCTCAATAATTATTAAATTTTAGTTTGATATATATATATATATGAATTAAAGTATATTATAAGATTATTTTATTATGCATTTAGATATTTAATTAAATTAAATCATAATTTATTTGTCTGTCTAAATAAAATTAAGCATATATTTGAGATGCTATCGATATATTATAAGCCTAAAAAAGAAGGAAGAGGTATAATACAAAGAGATAATTAAATTAATAAATAATGTGGTAGAGTAATAAAAAAAATTCTTTATTTTAAATTAGATCTATCTCAAATTAAAAATTTTAAAATTAGTATCAAATCGCTTTTGTTAAAGAGCGTGGTGTACTCTCAATCCGAATAGATTGTTCCTCGTAATTTTTAAAAATTTTATCAAGTTTTAATATGAATATCAATTTTTTTATCGAAGATTTTCTAAGACTCCACCGACCACCAACTAGCATAGCGTGAACATTTATAAGTACTTTTTATTTTATTTTTTTAAAAAAACTGCTGATTATACTGACTTAATTTAATAATGTCTGCATGGCAACAAATTTTAATATTTTTCCTTCTAATTAGCATAATTTTCAAACAACAACATCTTAACAACTAATGTTATAATTATTTTCGTCTATTTTTAATTGCGATAATTTTTTTTTATAGTCAAACAAAGTAATTTTAATTAATATTTTATGATATATTTTTTATCGTATTGATATGTGAAAAGTTAAAATATATAGAACTTTTTTATATATATAATTTTTGAATTTAGGAATTTTTTATTTAAAATATCAAATTAATATAATTTTATTTATCTTAAAAAATTAGTCAAATTAATTTTAAAAAAACATAACATGATAATTAAAAATATACCGTGCTAAAGTACTAACACATATCAACTAATTATCAATCAATCTAATTTCTTGTTTTTATTGATATACGAATCATTTTTGTACCTACCATAACATATTAATTAAATTACAATAATTTGATATTTTAAACAAAAACTTTAAATATTTAAAAACTATACAGAATGTACTATAAATTATAAAATTTTTGCATAGTAAAATGATGAAAATATACACCATAAAATAATAGTCAAAATTCT